GCTCGGCATTGTGGGGCTTGTGGTCGCGGAGGGCGGACTACGAGCCCCAGGGCCCCGCGCGCGGTTCCGGACAACGCCTGGTGTGTGGTAACACCGCGGATCTTCCTCCTCCTCCTCCTCCTCCTCCTCCTCCTCCTCCTCCTGCTCCTCGCGGGCGCTTCCGGCGCGGCGGCGGCGGCGGCGAAGCCCCTCGGGAGCAGCGGGGGCCCGGCGGGCCGGGGCAGGTGAGGTGCCGAGCCCTGCCCTGCCCGGCTCTCCGCGGGCTGGACGCGGGGCCCGCCGCGCCCTCCGGGGCTGCGAGAGGAGCGGTCGAAGCCGCCCCCGGGCTGAGGAAGCGGCTGAGGGCGGCCTGGCCGTGCGGGGAAGGTGCTGCGGGGCGTCCCTTCCCCTCCCGGCCGGGCGGTGACCTCTGTGCTCCGGCCCGGAGGCACCGCCGAGGGCTTGTCCTTCTCTCCGCCCTTCCCGCGGCCGCGGGGCTTGGGGCCTGGCCCCGCTCCGGGGTTCCCGGCCTGGTGCTGGTTCGCTCGGCCCGGGCCCGGCAGGCGCAGGCCCGGATGGGTTTTATTTTTGTGTGTATTATTTTTAGCTCGTCCTCTCGCAGCGGAGCGCTGTCAGGTGGCTGCGGCGGGCACGGGAGAAAGGGCGCCTGGGCTCCTTTCCCTATTCCTGCGCCAGGGGAGGTGTAGGTTGGACATTAGGGAGAAATTATTCACTGCAGGAGTGATCAGACATCGGAGTGGGCTGCCCTGGGAGGTGGTGGAGACAGCGTTGCTGGAGGTGTGGGAGGAGAGGCTGGACGTGGCCATGGTCTGGTTGACAAGGTGGTGTTTGTTCAAAGGTTGGCCTCTGTGATCTTTTCCAGAGTAATCGATTCTGTGATTCCTTTTCTGCAGGGTCCCCTTGGGGACTGAGCAGCCAGGGGAGTGTTCAGGGCTGGGGTGTCCCATTAAGTTGCTCACTGAACTGGTGAGTTGGGTTGGTGTTTTTCCTGTAGCTTGCACATACTTGGTTTTGGTGGCTGTTCCTGTTATCAGAGGAACTAATTCTCCTCTGGTATTTGTTTACACGTTGGAATGTATTTTTGTCCCTTTGGAGCTGTGTCATACCTGTTTTGATAAAGTAATGGCTTCACTTTCACATTCCCAAAGTAGGGGTATGTTGTTGTGGTTATTTATTCCGGCATTCACAACCTGTTTCAGTGATGCTGTGTAACAGTTTTGGTGTTGCTGACTGGTGGAACTGGAGCACGGGCTATGGGGTCTCATGTGAGACACAGACTGCTGTATTGGGACAGATTAAATCACTTCCATTTTCAAGTCCAGCAAAAGAACACGGACTAATTATAAGCCTGACTTCAGGCTAGGCTTGGTTTTTATTTTTTAAGTTGATACGGTTCTAAAAATAGACATCTTGGATTTATCACAGGTCTGTGTCATTTCTGAATTAGTCATAGAACTGCTCTTACTGTAATCAAGTGCATAAGCAGCTCTGCTTTGCCAGAGTGAATTTCACTGCAGGTGACTGCTACACATGTGTGGAGATGTTTGAAAACTGTATTTCTGTTCTATTGAGAGGCATTTGAAGACACTTTTAAAACTTCAATGCTATTTGGTGGTGACATTCCTTTTATTAACTCTTCAGTGAAATTATTTGGTGTGAGAATCAGTAGGATATGGAATCAGTTCAGTAGGCTGCCTCTTGTTATCATTGCTGATTTTAAAATACAGATTGTTATCCTAATACTTGATCTGTATGCTAATCCTAGTGAATACACCCAGACTCAGTTTTAAAAATGAGAGTAATTTTGTATCTGAAACACAAAGCTTTGAAGCTTTGTATCAAATAATCTGAGTTATACAATGGGAAATAATTGCAAATGATAATTAAAATACAGTGACAGGTAAAGTAACATCTGACCAAAAAAAAAAAAAAAAAAGATGATATGTGGGTTAGGTTTTTTTTTTTTATTCAAGTGACAATTAATGGCAGAAAAAGAGTTACCAAGACAGCTATGGAGTGTGTATATAGTTAAAAGAGCATATTCTGCAGGCTTTTTTTACTTCCATAAACTTTACAGCAGTAGTAAATTACCTACACTCCCTCCTCCCATGCACATTGGTCTTACATTTCGATTCAAGCTCTGCCTCTGAATTCAGATGGAATTTATGCTGTTATTTCCCTTCCCCCACTCTTTCTTCCTGGACTTGAATGAGTTTTTCTGATAACTCAGGGATCTCAGATCAGATTAAAGGTGAGACCTGTTCTTGAATCCTCACTGCAAAAAGTGGAGCAGAACCTCTTGGCAGTAAGGTAGTCTTTTCTAGCAGGAATGGGGCTGTGATTTTTGCTTGGAGCCAACCATTAAAATAATAATATTTGTAATCACTGCCTTGGGCCTTGTTCCTCTGTAGTACTTTTCTAAAAAAGAATATTAATGTCTAAGCACTTACCAGATCTAGGCTAGATGGAGCCTGGAGAAGGGAATAGAGACAACATCAGTGCAGAGGTAGATCTGCTGATGACAGAGCTGAAACCCTGCCAATTGATACCAAATGTTTCTGTTGGTTTAAAACTTGAAAAGTTGAAATCATGAGAGTCTGCTCTCTTTGCTTTAAGCACTGCTTCAGAAGATTGTGTTACACAAACAGCTTTCTTTGATGGAAACCTCACTCATCTTCAGCCTGGCCTAGGAGCAGCAGTGGATTTGGGAAAGATCCTGACTGCTGTAGTTACATGGTCATGGTTGTGTTCTTATTAAGCAGCTCTGCTTGATTTAAGTGCATTACCAAAAGTCTGTTAGTAAATGGCACACATTAGAGAAAGCAAATTGTCACCTTGGACACTGACAATGGTGGTTGAAGTGTGGTGGTTTCTGCTTTTCGCCCTCTTTGGAGGTGCTGGGTTTTGGGTTTTTTTCTGCTAAAGTTGAGTTGAATGATTTAAAATGTCACTGGGTGGCTATGGGGAGCTAGGTCTGTCAAAGAACCTTTCCAAATCTATTCCTCATCTAAAATACACCAGCTCTCTCCGTGTTTGCTGACTGGCTGGGATCATATTTTAGTGCTGAGACTTAAAGGTTAGGATGTAAGATTTATCCTGAGAGTGGAAGCACGTATTCCATGTTAGTGCATCTCTTGGAATACAGCCTGATGTGTTTGGTGGGTCAGAACTGGGTAGTCAGGGTTGTATTAACTGGCATTTTAGCACAGTTGACAAGTCTAGATTCTCTTTAAATTCCCTGTATCGTTCTGGACTTTGTCTCCCAGGATTCTCATTGAACACCCATAGATTTGGGTCTGTGGGGTCTCTGTAACAAAAAGGAAGATCAGGCTGACACTCAGTTTAGGATTTGCCAGTGTCCTGCTGTCTTCTCCTCGTCTGCCCCCTCAGACCAATTAACGAGTTTGCCAGCAGAGTAACACCTTTTATACATCTTGGAGTTTTCCAGGATTTCCTCAACTCTACCACTCCACTGTGCTGTCCTAATAAATCACCTCCTCATGGAATCTTATTCCACCTTTTTTGACAATGTAAAAAAAACCAGACGACAGATGAAACTAGGGTAAACTCCTCTCAAAGAAAAGGCTCTTTTGAGATTGGAGGAACTGAAGTTAAGCTGTTCCAAGGCACTGTCATGAAGTCTGGCAGCTGTGCAGAGCTGCTTTTGATCACATCCTAAAAGAAATGCTGAAAGCTCCTCCTTGCTGTGTGATAATGTGCATTAAACTTGGGCTTGAGTCAGGCCCTTTTGAAGGTTAGTGGACTTGCTGATAGTTGATCTAAATAGAACAGCAACTTCAGTTTTGAGGAGGATTTGGTCCCTAGTCAGGATTGAGACCTTCTTGAAGGTTATTTGGATGTGGTTTAATGCAGCTATGACAAACTGACTTTGAGTAACACAATGAACACAGAGTTTTTGTGAAGATGATTATTCTTTGTATTTAACACTAGCAAAGACTGAAGTGAGTAAGTTACATCCAAAAGATGTGAAGTTCATTCCTAACTATAAAAATAAATAGTTTGAGAATTTTAGCAGTCAGGTACTTCATGACACTGTGATGCTTCCTAATGTATCTTCTGGAAAACAGAAAGATTTCTGAAATAATGAGCAAGCAGTGTGATAAATTGAATATATTTCTCTCCATACCTTGGCAACAAAAGCATTTGATGGTTTTAAATATTTCTTGTGTACATGTGTATATATATAAACCCACCTCTTCAGTTGCAAAATTGGTGTCCTTTGTGTTAATATAAATGCAAGTATTGTATTTTTTTCTTAAGAATGTCAGTGTCTGGAAAAGGGGTAACAGATAATGTATAATTGTTTTTATATGAGAGATTTAACTGTACCATGGATTAGTAACAGTAGCTTATGGTTCTTCAGGAGAAAATGAGTTCTTCATGGTAGCTCACAGTGTAATAGGTTTTCATCATCATAAAAATCCATCATTTCACTTAGTATTTCCTTTTGTGTGTGTGTGGATCCTGCTAACCCATAAAAACAAAGTAATTATATCTAATGGCAATTTTGTCCTTTTTTGCCCTTCTTACTGTGATAAAAATCTTTTGGGTAGAGTAGAACAATGTTCAGTGACCTGATTTAACATTTTAAAAATTTACTCTGAGAATACAGATAAAAACTTGCTATAAATTAATCCCTGAATACAGGTGGTGCTTGTCAGATATGTGAGTGGATATTTACTGAACTTCCAGAAAGGAGGAATTAAACAGCAAAACAAACAGATCTCCATCCTGCAGGGAATACACATGGATAATAAATGGGACAGTTTGTACCTGCAGAAGGGAGTGAAAACTTGTTCAGACAAGTTCCCTCCCCCCTGTGAGCAGACCTTGCATGAATTTATGTAACTGAAACAAGTTCTTGGGAAAACACTCAATTTTCTGAGGAATGATGAATATTCACTTGTATTCTTCCATGCTCTTGACAGTGTAAAATACCAGAGGTGGGTGATAAATCTGTGACACCCCTGATTATTGCAGTTCCATCCAGAGCCCTTCCAAAAGTCTCAGGAATATTTTTCTGGGGTTGGTGGAATCAGCTCATCTGTGGCACTTTGAGATTGGAACAGCAAGAGAAACAAAGTGAGGTTTTGCAATAAGCAGCCCGTGTATAAATAAGCAGACTTGTATAAAGTTTTTATTGTAGTCATGTTTAATTTTTCTTCAACTTTTACTGTTCACAAGCTCACATCAGATATTTACAGTATTTGTATTCATCCAGTTTCTACTCTGTGCTGACTGTAGCCAGTAACAAATTTCACTTGTATAATTATAGCTAAACAATCATATCTCTGCTCTGGACAAAAAATACCTGTTCTTCTGTTTAAACTGCCTGAAGATCTTTAGCCAGTGCAGAGCATAATGAGGAACATGGCTTGAAGAAATGTCTTGGCATGTTTTTAACCTGTTCATATCAGGAAGTGATATTGATTGCTGCAGCTGTTTCTTATAATTTCACTCTTTTCACTTCTTCACTTACCTTCCTGTCAGTAAATTACACAGACATGCAAATAAATGCTTGGTGTCTGGAGCTTGCTAGGAGGAAAAAAAAATCCCTCCTCTAGTGCATTAAATTCTCCAAGCAAATCTAAAAATTAAAACTCTTAATATCTTTCTTTCTGTCTTTATTTCTGACTTGGATTTTCGGTCTTTAAACTCAATCATGTCATATAAAATATTTTAAAAGAATCTGATGAATAGAAAATACAGCAGGCTGGAACAAAGGGTTTTTATCAGCTGTAAGGTGACCTTTTTTCTTTTCCACATAATTTGTGGATCTGAGCAGTGATCCTTCCATGTTGGGTACGATGAGCTGGGCTGGGTGGAGAACTTCCAAGACAGAGGTTCAGTTACTGGAACAATAATTTTCCATTGAGTTAGCATAGCTGGTGACACACCCTGAGTGGAAACATGACTTCAGCTTATATAAAACCAAAGATGCAGTGTTCACATTCAGATGGGTGGAAAGCAGGCACTGATCTCCAGCAGAATCACAGCCTGATGCATGTGCAAATATCTGGAGTATTTAAAGGTAGTTTAATAGTCACAGTGCATCTGGATGAGGTTTGGGGTTGCAGCATGCAGTGTTTTCCAAGCTTTTTCTGGATGGGAGTTGTCAGGAACCCTATGCTGCTGCTTATGAGTGGTGGCAAGATTTTTGTAAATATCCCATAAAATCCCTGCTTTCAGGAGAATTGATTCCATAAGAACTTGAAGGGAAAAACAGTTGTGATAGCACATTTTCTTTAAAATATTCACTTAATAGATTTCAGTTCAGGTTTATGAAGTTACACTAATTGATCATTCCACGATTACTTGACTCATGTAAAAAGAAATCTCTGGTTTCTAAGCAGTGAAACTCAGGTTGATCTGTGCCATGTCATTTTTAGAGCCTGTCCCTCACGAGAATTTGTAATTGTGTGTTTGCTTTTTTTTTTCTCACACACTCTAAGGACAATAGATTTTCCAAGTTCTTCAAGTATTCTTGCACAACGAGGAAAAAGAAGAGACATTTTAGTGAATGAGGAGTTTTTTGCTTCTATAGTGTTTTCCTTGAGAAGTGGCTCTTTGAATGAGGATGACAATGGAAGAGATGAAGAATGAAGCAGAGACCACTTCTATGGTTTCCATGCCTCTCTATGCTGTCATGTACCCTGTCTTTAATGAGGTGAGCTCCAGTTTGCCTTGGAATGCAATAATCCCCTTTATTTTGGGAAATGTGCCCCCGTGTTGTTCATCTTGTGAAAGCTTTGTCTAACACATCTTCTCTCTCTGCATTGTTTCACCCTTCTTGCCATGAATAGTTTCATGCTCATCAAAGGTTGCTGGTTGTCTTGGTCCTGAGCTTTTCTCTTACCTTTAACAAGGATTTTCACAAAAATGCCAGCTCTGGTATTCCCTGGTAGGAAATAGCATGCAGTCGAACCTGTGAACAGCTTGATGAATTTTAATTTTACTGCTAATGGTTGTAATTTAATAGGATATTTGTTTTTCTCTGAGTGTCAGAGATTGCCAAGATGTTCTCAAAATCTTCTGTCAGACTTTTGCTGCAAAATACATCCAGTGATTTTTGTTTTCATTTGTGGAGGGAATTCTCTCCTTTGGGATTAAATTTATAGGATCTCTGAAGTGAGAACAGCAATTCTAAAGCTTCTGTCAATCCCCCTTTCCTTTCTGCTTTATAGGCCAAGGTGTGATTACTTGACTTGTTTTGTTCTGATAACAACAGCATGCTAATAATTAATTCTAAACTTTTATTGCAGCTAGAAAGAGTAAATCTGTCTGCAGCTCAAACACTGAGAGCAGCTTTTATTAAGGTGAGAAGTAAATTGCATTGAAAAATGGTTATTTCAAAAGTAAGCTGTATATGATAGAGCTAAAAGGTCAGCTCTCTTGTTTCCTTGTCTTTTTATCTAAGACTTCATCCTTGATCCACTAGTCTAAAAATAAAGTGGACAATTGCATGAACTGGAAGTTTGGGATGTCTGCAGATGTCATGAGTGGAAATGTGAATGAGCAATTTTAAACAGACTCTTCTCTTGCCCATTAAATGAGAGAGCAGTCAGTGAATAAATAATAATCTAAAACCTACAAGATTTACAGAATAGGTGCTCATGAGCAATAGGCACATAGCAGACTTTGAAATTGGTTTACAAAGTGAGTGGTAATAGGTTTTGTGGATGAAGTTCAGTGTTTGTGTAGAAAGCCAGCAGTAAATGGAAGAAAGATTCTTCTGACTTTTTCACGTATTCCTAAAGAGTGAAAATACAGATACTCCTTTACACTGCTTCATTGAAGTGGTGATCTTTTGAAATACTGAAACAAAGAGCTGTGCAGCTCTGGGATACTTCCCTGCTCCTGCCCTTAAATCTAAATGTGCCTTGATGGTCTGAAGCCTCAAACTGAGCTCTTACAAGCCTGCCTTGGTTTTGTGTGTTTTCACAATTGGTGGTAAGGAGCTAAGCTGGATGCAAATAATGTTAAACTGAGATGTTGGCAAAAATGGTAGTGCCAGCTAAAAAGCCCAGGCAGGCTCATTTTTCTTCCACACTGAGCAGTTTTTTGGTAGCAGCACAGGTGATGTGAACAGTTCCAGTGTTAATCCAGCTCTGTACTTAGATATGTCATCAATCAAAACTGGGTTTTTTCTGAAAGAGCAATTCCCAGACGGTGTCTGAGCATATGATGTGATTCATGAGAGGCACATTTATAAATGTCATGGGGAAGGTGGGGGAGTAGCACCTGTGTTGGAGTGAATTAAATTCCAGGGGATACAATATCTTTGTCTCAAAGCTTGGAGTTTATGAAAATATAACAGGATAGAGACATTTATTAAAACCTTTCTTACTCAAATTAAAATGAATGCAAGGGCTTATTGGAAAAGTTGCTTATACAAAATCATTGATGTAGTCCAAGAAAAATGGATTTTGTAGTGGAAAAATATTTTTAATGTAATCTACTTGTCTAAAGCCATTAGACTTTCAAAGTTCCTAGCAAACTCCTGCAGTGTCTGAAGCAAAAGACATGAAAATCTTTGTATTTACAATATCCAGGTCTTGCATATTTAAGAATATAAAATTTCTCTGCTATGCAGGCTGAAAAAGAAAATCCAGGTCTTACACAGGATATCATCATGAAAATTCTGGAGAAAAAAAGTGTGGATGTGAATTTCACAGAATCTCTTCTGCGTATGGCAGCTGATGATGTAGAAGGTAAGAAATCCTATGTTGAATAACTGTATTTTTAATTACACTGTTAACTAGGAGCATGCAATTCTCTGTTTCTTTTTTTTCTGTTTTTCAGAGGAGATTATTTGTTTCTTTGTAGAAGAACAGCATGGTAGAAGAAAATTTGTATTTTTGAATACCACTGTTGGATAAATTAAATCTCCCTGAAAGCCATGCTTGACTAATAAGAGCAGGAAAGAAAGAAAATGAATGTTTAGAACTATGTTTTTATGGGTGCACAGTTCACCTTTTGCAATGCTAACCACCAGGAAAAGGCAAATATGGAGTATAATATCCTCTTTTTTTTCCCCTGCTTCAAATTAAAAGCAGCAGTTACACTGTCACAGAAGGAGAATATACTGCAGGCTTTAAGTTATTTTAATACTGAATTTGATGACTTTAATGTCTCAAATAAAGTAAGATGGGCTCTTTTTCCACCATGCAGTAATAAAGGTGATTGTTGCACTGTCCTGATTCACACAGGGGTTATTCACTGCATTTTTCTGCCCATGGCTCTTTCTGTGCTGCTCTCCTTCAAATTCACCCTGGCAATCCTGGTGCATTTTGTGTTGTGTTTTTAGCTGTCACTCCAGACTTCAGGACAAACTAATGATGATTTTGAATATGTTCTTTTTGCCAGAGTATATGATTGAAAGACCTGAACCTGAATTCCAAGATCTTAATGAAAAGGCACGAGCACTTAAACAGATTCTTAGTAAGATTCCAGATGAGATCAATGACAGAGTGAGGTTTCTTCAGACAATCAAGTAAGTACAATATGATGGGCTTTGCTGCAGATGGAGAGGTCAGATTTATTTAAGCCTGAAAGTTGAAATTCTGTAGGTGTAGCAGCTTTGTTCCCATTGCAAAGGAGCCTGATCCCACTCAGAAATGATGAGGATGTTACTTGAGCAAACTTGCTGGTTCCAAGGCTGAGTTCCCAGGATGCTGCTCTGCTTTTGGTCTCCTCCATCTTGTCTGACACTTCCTCTGTAGAGACTGCCCTAAGAAATACTTGGCTGCTAGAAAGGGATTAAATTCCAGCATTTCGTGGGATCTCCTAAGGATATTGAAATTCTCTTTTTCTTGCCCAACAGGGACATTGCAAGTGCAATAAAGGAACTTCTTGACACAGTAAATAATGTCTTCAAGAAATACCAGTACCAGAACCGGCGGGTACGTGCACCAGCTCTTCATCCAATATTTCTGATAGCAAGGGAGGAGGCATCCTTGGGATCAAAGGATGACTAGGAGAGCTTAGCTGGTCAATGACACCATGCTTCAACTACGAAATGATAAGTCTCAGGAATTTTAGAGAAAAAAAAAATTTCTTTGTTTCTTCTAAAGAAAAAAAAAAAAACTAAAAATTTTTATTCCCAATGTAACGTTAATTATTTTTGTGATCAGTTTAACCTTAAGGTTCTCACTGTACCCAGAAATATGTGAACTAAGACTCTGCTCCTGGTGTTTTTGTTTTTGTAGGCACTTGAGCACCAAAAGAAAGAGTTTGTAAAATACTCCAAAAGTTTCAGTGATACTCTGAAAACCTATTTTAAAGATGGAAAGTAAGTATCCATTTGTCTTGTTGGTTTTGTCCTGTTGTTTTGATGATTTACATATAAAGAAAGGCTTTGTTGACTAACAGGAAAATAGGACAAGCTTTGGGGTGTAAGCTGCCTTTTTTAGGAGTTGCCTAATTATTTCCTTGCCTTTGTCCTCTCATTACCATGGCTGCTTTAAAATGCTGTTTCTTTTGTAATGCCTTTGAGGAAAGGGAAATTTGTTGAATACACCACCGTGTAACACCCGTGTGCAGTGTTAGCTTTGAATTTGAATATGAGAAGTTAAATTTCCTGGCCCTGTGTGGGTTTTCTCAGTGCATATACAAGGGCAAAGAAATAATGGATTTTTTTTTATTGAGAAAAATAATTTACCTGTTTGAAATATCATTTGCAAATAGAAAAACATCTGTGCAGGGTTCTCTTTGATTTACATTTTTATTGGCCTTTCTTTATAGACCCTCACAGTGCTCTGCAGTATCTGGAATGATTCAGCTGATTTTTTTTCTAGCTAAACATTTTAGCCTTCAAACAAACTGAGGCTTTTTCCAGGTCTTCACCTTGGGTTTTGAAGTCACAATTCCTGTATAATTCACTGTAGTGATTCTTTTGGAGGATGAGTGGATCCCCCTCAGATTCTGACAGTGCCAAAGTGTTCTGTTTTAAAGATGGAACCAACTTTGATGTCAGCTCTTGTTGAGCTTGGCAAAGGCTGAGGGCACCCAGGAGATGGTGCATTACTGAAGGAGAGAAAAGTCTTGAGACCAGCTGGGAGTACAATCCTCCTCCCATCAAAGCATTCTTCTTTTTCTCTCCTTTTCCTGAAATTGGGGCTAAATTTGATGCCAAAATGAGAAGTTCAGTCTTTGGTAGCTTTGATTCCTGGACAGAAGTACTGTGTGCTGTGGGCTTAAGCTTAAAGTATGTTAATTATTTGCAGTAGTGTAAGAAATTCCTTAAGGCCTGAATTTCCTATCCTTGGGAAGTCAGGAGGGATTTCAGTCTGTCTGAGCTGCACATGGAGTGAGATCCCTGCTCCCCCCAGGATGGAACAGCACTAAACAAAGCCATGCTCAGACGTCATTACTGAGCTGAAAAATTCCATGACCCCACACCTTTCTCAGCAGAAAGGTAACTAAAATAGCGTGCTGCTGGCACATGTGTGCACGTTTAGTATTCCTTGAGGGAAGAGTTGCCAATTCTGGAATTCCTGGGGGGTGAAGAGCTCAGCTTTGGAAAGGTGTTTAACAAGCACAGAGTCAGAAAATGGCTGTGACCTTAAAGATCATCTGGTTCCAAGCCTCAGTCATCTGCTCCACGCTTTTCCTTTGGTTATGTGAATCCCAGAAGCAAAGGATTGAGATGTCAGTGATGATAGAGAGCCAAATTCTTTTTAAATTCCTGCCAAATCAGCACAGCCTTTCTGGGCTTAGCTATGCAAATGAAGCTGGCTGGCTGCCAGCAGGTCAGCACGGGGTGGAACATCCCTGTGCTACCAATTCTCAAAGCCTAGGTGCCAATAGTGCTCCAATGCCACGTTTCTAGAAGTGTCTGAAGCAATATTCTTCTCTTTCCACAGGGCAATAAATGTGTTCATAAGTGCCAACCGACTAATTCATCAAACCAACTTGATACTCCAGACCTTCAAAACTGTGGCCTGAAAACTGTATATGTTGAGAGTTGTACTTTTCAATGGTGGATAGGGTACCTTTATATGTAAATTTTAAAGTTTTGACTGTATAAATTATCAGCCCCTCTCAAGGGGCCTAATGCAGGATTTTGAATGGGATTATTGCCATCTTACACCATATTTTTGTAAAACATTGTAGCTTAATCATAATCTCACAAGAAAGATTTTGCATCACTTTTTTGCTATTATCATTCTTTTCAGAATTATAAGCCAAAAGAATTTACGCCTTAATGTGTCATTATGTAACATTCCTTACAAGAATTGTAAATATTTGGTGTTCTGTTTCTGACATTTTAACTTGAAAGCGGAAAACTGCAAGATTATGTATTTAACAATATTGGTGGCAAATATTCAATAAATAGTTTACATCTGTTAGACTGTCTTTTTGTATGTGAACAAAAGTGCATAACTCATCTTTCTAGAACTGCAGAACATTCATTCAATAGAAAAAAAAAATTAAATTATTTGGGTGCTTAAAGCTACCGGGAGTTCAAATCAGTGTAAAATGAGGGGTTTTCCTTAAAACTGAGATTTTGGCTGTTATCTAGACCAGAACAACTATATTAAAATGTCTTTGAGAAAGTAATCAATCAACCCAGAAGTGAGATGTGCTTTTGTTTTTGATAGAAACTAGATCTCACTTCTTTCTTAGTCTTCTGTTAGTGGCGAGTTAACAGGTTTTTTTACTCCTAGGCTATTCCAAGGTTTGGAGCACAGAATTATTTGAAATATATGCAGCAAAGATTGCATTTAAGCTATTCAGATCAGTGGGTTTGAATTTGTCCCCTTTGGGAGGGAGGAGGATTGGAGCTAGAACTCTTCCAGGTAGCACTAGTGATATCTATACTATGCATGCCATAAGGCAACTTTGTTTTTTCAGGGAATTGAAATCACGTGAGACCTCGACTGACAAACCTTGGCTGTGTAGGTGGTTAAGAGCTGCTGCTGGACAGGTGGAAATTTTCTCTTTGTGATTTCCTGGTGATGTTTCACAAGTTCTGGTGAATCCTTGGAAGTGCACCTCGAGCTGATTTGGAAATAGAATAAACCTCTGGAAGTTTGCAAAATCTGTGGCCATTACTAGGAAGTTTAGGGGAGGATGTGAAGCAGCTTCTGAAGCTGCAGGAGGAGCACTCCAGGCTGAAAGATCACAATTGCTACAGAACTATTCCTTGTTCTAAATGGTGAAGGAAAGGTCCCTCCAGATTGTCTGGCACACTGGCCTGGTGCTGTACTGCTCATCTGGGGCAAGTGCCTTATCCCAGGTACAACAGCTGGGTCCTTGCATTTGCTGATCTGAAAGGATCAAAAAGGGGGGAAATGCAAACTGCAGACCCCCCCCCAAATAGCACTGGATGTTCTGCTGTCTATTTGTGCATGGAATTGTTTCCTCGATGAGAGCACTGACTGTAGTGAAATAGAGCAATGTGAAGGAGAGTATTGTGTACAAATGAGTTCTTTGGGAATGTATGTTGTGCAATGTTTGGTTACACACAGAGCTGTAAGCAGGACGTGGTCCTTAAAGCTCGCTGGTCAGCCTGTTCTCTGTTCTGGCAGTGGTGTCTTGTGTCCTTAGCAAAGTGAGCCTACTAAAGGGATGCTGAATCAATTTATAGTTCAAACTTTCTGGTGTTTCTTAAAGCTTGGCCTGCTGAACTGTCATTTTTTTGGCACGTGATAGAAGAGCAGCGATGTTAGAACTGGCAAAATTAGAGTAATATTTAATTTGCATCTTTGCATTCTGTAAGCAAAAGGGTTGAGAAATCTCCTTGTGGATGATGCTCACTTAAGTCATAGCTCCAAAGGGCTTCATGAAAATCCATGAGTCAGGGAGAAGGAAGGGAAAGGCCCCTGGAGTTTGTGATACTTCATCTGCCTTGGAGAGAGTGTTTGGTACTGGGGTGGCTGTAGGGAGAGAGAAACACAAAAGATTGGGTTATGTTTTATGGATTTGGCCTGATTCCCATAATATTCTGAGATTTCTCTATTTTCTTGGATTGAGCAGGACAGTAACTAGTGCTGGCAATCATTAGTTGAATGAGACCACGTTTATGTCTATGGGTGGTAAAAAATACATTTAAAAAATCCATTTATGACTTGTGTCCCAAACAAGCTGCTCTGTTATGTCCTGCCAGTTGGTTCCTTGTCAAATCAGAGGCTATTTCATCAAGAAATGAACTGTTCCTGTTCATCAGTTCTTCCCAAACCTTTATTGGGTAAAAGGTACCAAATACAGGGCTAAGCTTCAGGTTGTCTGGCCAATGTGTTTTGTTTTATTTATAACCTCATTGTGATTTCTATATGTTACCCTTAAAAGTAATGGAAAATTATTCATTGTAATTAATGTCTGGTAATGGGAAAACTTGAAAACTGGTGTCTTCAGGTCACACTCTTCTGTTGTGTGCAGTGAATCCATATCTAGTGGTCTTACAAACCTTTCTTTTCCACTGAATATGAGCTGGGACATATGTCTGTCAAATTTTATTGTGGTTTTGCACTTTATTATTCAAGTTACCTGAGTAGCTAAAAGATAAGTTTCTCTTAAGGATTTCTGATACAGCAGTTAGTGTTGCAAAATGCTCTTAGAAAATTTCTGCTGTGAATGTGGGTTATAACTGCTATGATAATGTTAACATAACAGAAAACCAATCTAATAAACAAAATAAAACTTTGTATATTTGTTAATGAAGCAAAGAACCGTCTTAATCACTTGTTTTGATTTTCCTCAGCCTGTAAAGAAGTGAAGAAAAGCTTAGGCTGGCTTGTTTCTGGCTGGAAGTTTTAATACTGATCACAGATTTGTGTCCAAGTCTGTGAGCTGTGCCAGGTGCCCAGCTCAGAGCGAGGTTTTATCTTGAGCTGACAGGAAGTGGTGAGTATGAAATCTCACAATGTCCTGGTGTCAGACCTTCCTTGTCTCCAGCCAGCAGGAGCAGATAGTGTCAGTCTGGATTAAACTTTATCTTTTCTTATGATCTTATCTAGATTACCACCAAAGTGCTTTTCAGCTCTCACACTGTGTGTCCAGGGAAGCCTTGTTTTTCTGCAGGTGTTATCTCTTCATTTCACAGAGCCTCTGCCTCTCTCACTTGGGTGGGGAAGGAAAAGGAGGTTGTCAAGACAAACTTGCCACAACTCTAAGCTTTAGATTGCTACATTTATTTGATTTCCCCTTCAGACTGGAGTAATGTGTGCAATGGTAATAACTGGATTGGGCACAGCAGTGATTATCCCTTGCCTTTGGAGGAGGCCCTGGCAGTTCTGCCTGAGAATCTTGCTTTGCCATGCTCAGCCTGGCTCATCTTCCCCCAGGCCTCCCCTTCTGGGGAAGCATTTGTGCTGGGAGCTGTGGGAACTCCCTGAGCTGTGCATAATCATCCTGGGCATTGCTGCACTTTGTCATTTTTCACTCCATTCCTTTGCTTTTCCTCATACACATCTGGGCAGATGTTGCTTTTGAAAGAGAACAGTAGGGAACGTGGGTCAGGAACAGAGGCACAGCCTAGCAGCAGCTTTAGTTCTAAAAAAATAGGACTGGAAAGATGCTCCTGGGTCATTTGGCTTCTCTTACAGAAGTTGAAAGGTACTGTAGAATGTTGGCCCTAAATCTGCCCAGTTCTATTTTAAAGCCAGCCTCTTTGTCCTCATTCCTCTTGTTAGATGTCATTTTAAAGCAGTCTGAAAGAATAAAAAAACCTTTCAAATATTGAAGTTTAATATGCTGCATAAATTTAATTTATGATGAAGAATTCACTAACCTTGGCCACAACCAACTGTTCTTTTTCCCTCTTCTCTCCACTTGGGAGTCCTGGGATGAATTTTGTACCACCGTGGGCTTTACTTCTTACAGATCCACAATTCCAAGGGTTTGGACCTCTAAACAGGACAAGGTGTTGGCCAATGCTAAGTTTGCTCCTTTGAGGCTGAGACAAAACAATTTTTTCCTCGTGCTATAGCACAATCTTGAATTTTGCTACAAAACTCATTGGTGCTGGTGTCTCCAAGGCAGAGGAAAAGGATTTGGCTCACCTGGAGATGTCTCTGTCCCTCTCCTGCCCCACAGCCTGGCTGTGACACAGACCTTGATGTCTGAGACAATGCAGGGTGCTTCCCCCCAGCTCTGCTCGCTGGATTTCCTGAGCATTTTCTCCCTGATTTCTTATTCTGCACCTTGTCCCCTTGCCCCATCCAGGCCTGGCTGCTGGGGAAGCAGAAGGGGCTGAGGCAGCACATTGTCACATCAAGGACTCCTGCAGGGCAGGGACAGATCCCAGGGCCTGGGATCTCTTCCCCACTCTAGTCTGGCATCCTCACAATTATTTTCACCAGACTTGGGCAAGTTCATGTCTTTAATGTTCATTGAAGGGCCAGGAGTGGAGCTCAGCAGCACTTGAGGTGCAAGGCTGTGAATTTGGGCTGCACTGCCACACTTGGGCACTATCAGAGCCTGTGATTAGATGATAAAGGGTTTTATCTCCTCCCTCTCCCTCCACTGCCACCTTGCAGTGCTGCTTATCAGCATGTAAAGATCAGAAAGGCTTTTCCTGGCAGCACAGCAGCCAGAATCTGCAGTTCAGGAGTTGAGCATCCCAGAGAACGTTGTGTTGTTGGGTAAAGATCACTTTGCTCAGACAGCTTCAGTGGAAAGTGAGGTTACACTGCTATTGCTGTTCCTTTGGAATTTGTTTCTTGCTATTAAAGGTTTATAAATCATGAGGATTCCTTTGTTGAGCAGTAACCAGAGGTGGCCATGGGGGGAGGCTGAGTTGTCTTTTTGACACTTCAAGCATGAGAGGAAGAGACATTAAATTCCTCCAAGAGCCAGGTGGAAGTTGAATTCTTCTCACCTTAGAGACAGAAGTGTTCTTCTTAGTGTACCCAAGAAGGAGAAGTGCTTTTTAGTGCTGTAATTCCATTATTGGTGACCAGGTAAGCAAAATAGATTTTCAATTGCTGGTTTCTAATGCATGCTCAGATCTGCTGTATAAACACTTGTGAATTTGCATTTGGTATCACAGTCAGAGGAGTGATTCCACCTGATGGATAGAAAAATTTCAGAGAATATTTTGTACTATTTCACTAAGCTAAGAAGTATAAAACCCTGTATCTAAATTAGACGTGTCTTTGACATTTTATTATTTCATAATTGTAACTCCTAGACTTTCCATAGTAGGTAATTGCTTTTTTCCCTGAAGCTGCCTTAGTCTCCAAGGATAAATGATGGGTGAAATAGATGCCTGAGTTCCTAAAGTTTTAAAGTAAAGAGAATAAAGTATGAGCTAAAAGTATAATTCACTTAGTCTCCCTTCTTGCTGCTGGGTATGTAATCTCCAATAGAGCCACAGTGAAAAATGCTGTGAAAAAAACCTGAGCTCAAAAGACTGAGCTCCAACCTTTAAGAAAACACAGACGCTTTCATGGTGAGTGAATTTCTTAACTAAAATGTTAATTGGAAGGATTTTGCCTTGCTTGTTGAGGAAAATGTGCTAACCATTTTTTCCCTGCTGTTTGCACAGCCGTGTGGTATTAATAATTTTGTGTGGTTCTCTACAGCTGCTTAATGAGTGACAAACAGAATTTTCGTAAGTGGTTTGGAATGGGAGAGCAGAAATTCCTTCTGAGGCTGTAATGCAGGAAGGATAATAAATATTGCCTGTGAAGGTTAAGAAGAAAACCTCCCAGAATCACAGAGGTGATGGGGCTGGAAAAGAACTCCAAGATTGGACTCAGTCTTTGATCCCCACCAGCCCTGAGTGCACTGAGCCCCACCTCCAGGGATGGGGACTCCCCTCAATCCTCTGGATCTGGACAATCTCTGCAATAGCCACATCTAAGTAAAATTCCCCTGTGATCCTTTAGCCCAGCCCCAGGATTTAGGGAGCCTGGGTAGAATCTTGTCAGACACAAATTTATTGCACTCTGAAGCCCCACAAAGAGCTGTGGTTGCTGCAGGTAATGGGGGAAAAAAAAATCCCACCTTATTTCTATTCAGTAAGAATTACAAAGTGTAAGGGGCAAAGAAAATGTAATTGTAGCTGAGCTTTGCCTGCCTTTTTTACATGACTTTAAATATAAAACCCAAAGCAAACGTTTAACAGTAAGGCCTTGTGCAAGTCAGTATTTTTTATTTGAATGAGAACTGAGCTGTTCTTTTCAAAACCAAATTTCTGCATTACCAAGACATAAAAGCAAAGTATGGGTTTAGTTTCTTTTTCCTTCCAGAATAAGGAGAGAGTTTTTTTATCATGAAATAGGAGCAATACCAACTGCTGACAGTGCCAAAGTAAGTGAAGTTCAACCTGTTGACCTCTTGCTATCTGGAGCTTTTTCTCATGAACATGCAATAATGGTTCTGTAATTCCCTGCCAATAGAAGGCAGAGTAATGCATGAGGAAAATAGAGCTGAGTGTGAAAGCACCTGTTGTACCCGTGTCTGTCAGACAGGAATTAACCAGCAAGGCTGGCATGCTGCAGTCATTAAGGATCAAAGCTGCTCCTTGGCCAGTTCTCATTTCCTGAGGTGCCAGGTGTGATGTGTGACCCTGTCCCAGGGCTTGCTCCTCAGGGATGTGGAGCCCAGGGGGACATTCCTGGTGTCCTTGTGCTGTCTCCAGAGAGGGAGGGCAGCAGAAGCCCCCAGAGTGAGCTGGTCTTGCTTTGTTTACCCAATTCTTGGACCAAAACAACACCATCCACATCCTCCTCCACGTCATGTGGGCTGCAATTCTTAGTGGTAGAGAAGGATCAGGTGCAAAAACCCCTCCTGACAGTTCATTTAATGAATTTGGTACAAATCATCCTTTATTTCTAGTTTTTCATCCTTTATTGTCCCTGAGCAGAGCTCTGGGCTCTCTGGGTTTGGGGAGTGCCCTGTGTCCCAGCCTTAGCTCAGGGGAGAGCTTCCAGCCCAGACTTTGTGTTTATTTCCAAAGCCTCCTGCTGCAGCCTTGGAGGCTGCAGAGGATGGATGGGGCTGGTTTGCACAGGAACACCTCCACACACATTTATTTCCACTGCAGCAGCCACTGGGCTGTGTTCTGTGCTCTGCCAGCTCCAATTCCAGCTCTTGCCCAAGCTCTCAGTCACTGTCCTTCGGGCCCAGCTTCAGGAGCAAGTGGGAAAGTTCATCATCAAAAATGCCTGAAGTAAATGGGTTTTGCTAGGAACGGTTCAGCTGCAAACTGCTGTTGCTCCTGTGCATCTCTAGATTGTTTGTCTCTCTGAGTCCAGGACCTGGAACTAAATTTTACCAGCTGGCAGCTTTGTGGGTTTTCTGACTTCTTAAAAGCCAATTCAAAACCTTGTACCTCCTGCTGCTTGTGTGCCTCACAGGCAAGGCTTGTTACTTCTCTTTTTCCAAAACCCATTTGGAAGAGAATTACGTGATAGAAATTAATGAAAAACATGGACTTAACATTTATTTTCTTGACCTCTGAAAACGATTCCAAGTGGTGAGTGTTAGTCTTGTGGGGTTTGTTTTTTGGTGGGGGGCCAGGGGATGATGATTACAAATTAGTTAAACCTTTAAATAATGTCTCAAGATGTGCCCATATTAATCCATAAACCTGGGGTCACTCACCACAGTGGAAGCTGAGTAAGAATTTTGGTTTTATACAGATTATATGTGATTCCTGTTGTTGGGATGATATTGCTGCAAGACTGTCCCTGCTTT